ATTCTTCATCATTTTGTTCAATTGAAAGGATATCACCATATTTAACATTATTTATGGGAGAATAAACATAAGTACCTAATTGATTATCATATTTTATATTAGTAGCTAAGATAGAATAATCTATAAGTGTCTTTCTTAATGCTTTATATAATAAATCTAAGTTGTTTTGCAAGTCTTGATTATAAGTTGAAGTAACTTGAAAATTTCTATAAAACCCACAGGCAGTTCTACATCTGAAAAATGTTTCCATTATTCCAAGTGGTCTTGATGTAACTACATCTGGTACTAGTGGATCTGTAGTCATTTTGGCTTCTTAGTAGAGTAAAGAAGAAGAAGAGTAGAAGAGAGTAGAATTTTTCAGAGGATTAGTCAGAAGTATTTATATAATGTTGAAGATGAACAATAGAATCAACCCCTATAAAATTTTTATTTGGTCATAATGGATAATGGTAGTACAAAAGTAAAGTATTAACGAGACTATACGACTAAGCCAATTAGTTTTAGCGGGAACTATACAATGGACATATATATTGCATATCCATGGAAATAGGTGGTAGTATACTATGAATCCTATTGGATGTTTACGTTAACAGTTACTGATAGTTTATATATGGTTATTTAGTCTGATCTAACTCTAAGAGAATGAATGAAATATTTTTTTTTTATTTTTTTTAAATAAATTGTGTGGGGATTTAGGTTTTGTTCGCGAATTGTCATTGGAGATAGAGTCGCGACATCATTGTGGCGCACGTTCTAGTGAGGTAACGCGTATTTTATGTTGTAATTACTAAAAGGTAACTTTATTGATTGACTAATGATATAGTGTACAAAGTTGTCTCAATTGAAAAGATTTGGCCTCTAAGTGTCTTGATCCGTTCTGGTAATTGAGTATGAATATAGTTTTACAAAGTCAATACTTATAACTCACAAAATATAATAATAACTGAATAATATAAAAAGAAAAACATATAAAACTAAAATATAAAAACTTCTGAAACACTAATAATGTTTCATTTCTTAAAAATTGATAATAATTTGATAATAAATTGGTATCTGTTTAGCGAATGTAATAGCCTAAACCAGCCAAATGTAAATTATAAGTAGTAGTGATCAAACAATATACAAATTATATATAGAATAGTCCATGCCCTCCTCCCTTACATTCCATCGTAGATGAAGATTATTACATCCACTTCTGTAGTTCCCACCGTCGTCGAGACAAAAGTGAGAACTTTTCATGCCTGCATATTGTCAAGGATATACGATACTCCTAATGGATAGTAGAACGTGCGACACAATGGTGTCGCGACTCTATCTCCAATGACAATTCGCGAACACTCCCCTGGAACCTGAAGAGGATAGATATGATACCGGGAAATCAGTAAGAAAAACAGTAACATATCGATAATGAAGGTTCCCATTCGAATTGGATCCAAAATAAGAGGCATTGAACTTGGAAATGCTCCCCTTCAACAATTGCAGCCAAAGTGTGCCAACGATTTTAACACAATTCTCGGTGGTGATCACGATAGTATCTCATAAGTCTTCCTGCAGTTCCATCATAATAATATTCCCCGAGGTATTGGCTGTACAGGATAGAATTCAAGTTAAACTACTAAATTCCCTATCACTGTTAATACTATCAACGATGAACTACTGGCTTTAAGACAATTCTTAATCTTATCGCGGATTAATCTCATCTCTGACTATTGATAAAGTACCATCTACCAACAAAAGTTCTAGTGAACAATGGAGGATAACCGAGAGCTTTGGTGAGTAAATCAGCAACATTGTTTTGGTAGTAATCCGAATGAATTGACAAATTCTTGTGTTGAATCAGCAATAGTATTTGGTCATTAATCCAAACTACTCACAAGTTATTGTCTTCGAGATTCATTTGCCTGACATATATCATACAAATGTCCACCAGCCTAAAGCTAGCAGAAATCTTCCTGTTATGAGTGATCTTCACAATGGGATGATTATCTCGAAATTGGTAGGGTGTGGTTTCTTGAAGCCAACATTATGAACACTCTTAATGCAGTTACGAATAGGTTTCAGCTACTACCATTGGTACCAGCATCGGCAGCCATAAAACAATTAATGACATTCTTCTATTTATTAGAACTGCAACAGACCTAATTTCCATCAAGGTATATCGAGAACCCAGTGAACGAGTAACTCTCACCAATAGGAACAAAAGAAGCATCAGCAAAAGCGTGGATAACAAAGTTCTTTATCAATCATCTTAGTTAACCAAGAAGGTCAACAAGCTTAGATTTCAGGATCACTGAACTAGGCATTGTCTAAGATATGACAAATCACTTGTGCTTGGCATTGCCTTTAACCTACCGAGGGAAGTAACAGCATATAAGTTTGTGGAAAGGTGTTTCAAGTTAACTACCGGAATAAATCCACGGCAAACAATAAAGGTTATTAGCATTATTCAAAGATCATCATCACTTTCGACATTGAAGTACTACTTCACGTCCTTGGTGACGACACTTCTCGTTTCTTTAGTATCAACTTTAAGAACCTTTGGAATTCCAGAACCATTTTCGATTTTCATCGTTAATGTCCGATGGAGCAAAGCTCCCCTGATTAAGGATTGTTCCATTCTAGATTCTCCTAAATCCAATAACTAAGTAATCCAGAATGAGCTAATGTTCAACTTGAATTTATCACCTAACTTGTTCATAAAATCGTTGAGGATTTCCTTGTCGGAATCAACCACCAATAGATCATCAAAATATGTGCTATGACATAATATTGATCTATCATTTTCGAGTACGAATAGATCCTCTGTATTCTCACATTTTGTTAACCCCAATCCGTCAAGAATCAGTTCATGGACGTATAACCCAAACACAGCTCGTTTGAGACCATAAACTACCTTGTTAAGCTACCAACAGACTAAAACTCAATCTTGTTAAGGTACCAACAGACTTGAACTCAATCTGTCATCCATTGTAAAGCCAATAGGACGATCAATGAAATTCGGGGATGTTATTTGGGAAACAGCATTCAAGTATTCAAACTTGACATAAATGTGAATAATACCCATTTCGAACATTAAGTTCAATGGTGAGGATTCTAATGGATATGGGATCAGTCATTGGCAATTGTGACCATTAAGGTATCAACTATGTTCCAATAACTATACTAACCCAGTATAACACAAATTAGATTTGTGCTAATCTTATTTTGGATCATCCTTCCTGTGTGTACCCAAATGGCTGGAACTTGCCTTACACTTTGGAAGGTTAGACAACATCGAAGACTTCAAATCAATGAGAATCTCAGCTTTCTTAGATGAATACAATTCTTACCTTCGTACTCAATGAATTACAATCGTTTGGATACAATTGTTATGTTCCTTCATTGGCCTAGTACTGAAGACGTTTCTCTCAATTGGATATAAATCTAATTACTAACTTCGAAGCAATGATTGGATGTGGAAATCTGGTTGATTGAAAACTCTTCTTGCAAATATTGCTCCCTGGAGTGGGTGAAGATCAAAACACATTTCCACGTCTTGTATCAGGATTTTGATGTGTCGGGTAATCCGGTTTCTTCCTAGGTTGCTAGCATATACAGATTGAGACTAAACTTGCACGATTTCTCCCCTTGAATCCAAGTTGTACTCATCGTGAAGTCTATTGATCTCGACTGAAAGTTCTGGAATGGCTAATTCATGTTCAGTCAGATTGCCAGTAGAAGTATCGGGTGAGGCTTGCACTCGTCCACTTGTAGGAATTTCTTCCTTCGCAGTTCGGATGCTCCCCCATTGACTTCAGTCTGTGACGGCTCGGTTATTTCCCGTTCAAATGAAGCCAATGTCGAATTGTCGAAGGTTGAGCTTGCAATTCACCATAATGTTCTCCAAGTGTCGGGTGCTGTTTGTGGTTTGCTATGGATGAATATGGTCGATTCGCCACTAGGGTACTTTGCTCCCCAGATTGTGTAGAAGAATTTGAAGATTCTTCCACATCCTCTTAGATTCTGGTTGACAGCCAGGCACTTTGAGGTTTCAGACCACTTTTGAGGTAACTGAACAATTCTGGTTTGTCTCTTACTAGTTTATCTACTCTGTCAGGATATTCTCCGTCAAGGGTATTAAATCAGTAAGTGGTCCTGAAGGTTGAAGTGATTAGTTAGCAGCGGTTGGTCCATCAGACTTGCATTCATCCATCTTATTTGATACCTAAGTATCATCTTTCTGTAGAATGGGAGTATAAGATGAATGAGATGCCATAGTACCTGGAGTGGCACTGGCGACTGGAATGGTTGCTGGGTCATCTTCCATGGGAGAAACTTCTGTGTCATTAGTCGAATCTTCCATGTCTTGAACTTCAGGATCATTGGGAGTAAAGAAGGCCTTGCGGCTTGTATCTTCGAGATATCTGTAATTCTCACCATTAATTAACAGATCTGCCCGTTTAAAACCATCGATAACCCCGGAAATTCTCCTCTCTATTATTCTTAGTATCAAGAAACTTAGCATTAAAAAAATGCTTGCTTGGTTGACCATTTTGAACTATGAGAATCTTTATATGTTGGAATCAGTTCACTATCCCATGAAGTCACTTCAACTATCGGTGGACAAAACCTCTCAGGGTCAATCCTCGATGTATTGGTGTCTTGCGGAAAGAGCGATGTCGATATAACATCAACCAAGCTACCAATCATAAGTATCATCTCACATTCATGAATAATTCAAAAGGAGTTTAACTGAGTTTCAATGGATCACAAAACGATATGTGATTTTAACATAAACGGCATATTCAAACATCTCACGTAACAAGGCAGTACCTCGTTAAACCTGTTGGGCAAGTTAATTACACCACTGTGGATATTATAAATAATAACCTCGTTCGGTGCTTCTCCCATCCCAGACATTTCAGATGAATAGGAAGGAGTAACTTCTTTGGATATTCCCAACGCCATCAAAAAAGTCTTGCATTGCAAGTCTTTTGCAGTATCTGACCAGAAAGCATGAATATGCTCCCCTGGAAAGGTATTGTCGAGAAACTTGAGCTCTTGGATAAGACCGTCAGTAATGGCTTTTAGTGTAGATCTTAATAATGGTAAAACCAATAAAATGATCACTTAAGGAGTAAAGTAATGCTTTTCAGAATTAACAATCATTAGACCCATAATATCGGAATTGATCCTTTCTGCCCTTCGGGTAGAAGGTATTTGGGTTGATGAATGAGAAACTTGCTTGTAATTTGAATATTTACAAATTAGACAAGAAGAATTTCCTATGAGCTTCGTTATCCTTAATCACAGCCTTGATATTCCTATCACGAACTAAGTTCTCTAATTTCCTGATTTGATATGTGGTTGGAATCCACATTGTGGTATAGATCATGCACACCGAAGTGTAGACACTCGATCTATTCCTTAGTCTGATAGGTGACTGGCAATTGAATCTTTTCCAGATTCTTGGTTCTTCTTATGATAGATCCAAGCAGCAAAATAAAGTCTGCAGATCCAGGACTAGGTTATTTCATCGACTATGAAATCCAAATCTAACATATCATATGTAGATGAAGCTCCTTAAACAATACTACAGTTCCCATAATGGATACCATGGTTTGCTTCAAAGTTGCTAAATTAATGGATAAACAACATCACATCGACAGCTTAGTACCTTTAACATGAATTACCATATCACCAGCACCACACTTTCATTGTCAACGGAACTATAAGGAAATGTAAACTGCAAGTCTTCCAACTTTCTATAGTTAAGTTCTTGTTACCAAACCATGTACTATTTTGTCAGAATCGTATTTGGACAGCATGTTTCGAGAACCATTAACCTTTAAGTTCATCAAGTCAACGTCAGTTTTATCAGTTGCAAGAATAAACTTGCGTTAGTGAAGAAGGACGATAATGCAATCAACATGATTCGGACCTTCGAACCATTACTGATTCTAGACCAATCGAGCTTACTCACAATGAAGCTTTTGGCTACTTGTTAATCAGCAGTCTTCCTCTCACTAACTCGTATCACTGTACCATAGAGAATATTCTCTCCCAACCATTCCCAACAATTGTTGACTCAAAATGCATTGGCAATAGAAATTACATTCTGTCCGACATCTTTTCAATAGTAAAACTTCCTGTAATTTGAATATTTGCAAATTAGACAAGCATGAATTTCTTATGAATATAATACCAATGGGTACATTGTAGTCATCAAGATGAACATCTAAACCTCAAGCAATTTTCGGGTTGTATAATACTCCCCTAGAATCAAGCAAACAATACATCCTGGAAATTTTACCTTCCAAGAATTGGAACACCAATGTAAAATACAAAGGATTTCTGGGTACAGAACTATCTCTTTTGGACTGCACTACCTTTTGAGTCCTATTAAAAGGATCTTGACCCGAGAAGTTACGGTTGTCTTGCGACGTCCGATATCTTCCGTATGCCAATATTAATCATGGATGATAGATAATTTATCCACAATTGTATTGATTCCATACACAATTCCATTGAAGGAGTTGTGTGAAACCTTCAAAATCTGCATCTTAATAAGAATGAGAATTTGACTTACCAGAATTTTCAACACCAGCAGTAAAGCCAGCATTATTCTGCATCAATCATCCAGACTTCAGTTAGACTGTTGTCTGAACCTTGATCTTTTAATTTCATGTGGAAATATGGGAAAATTCTTGGACTCTTTGGAGGAATGATTTCGCCAAACTAATACGTTATGAATAACGCATTTGACTTCTAATCTGATAATAATTTGATAATAAATTGGTATCTGTTTAGCGAATGTAATAGTCTAAACCAGCCAAATGTAAATTATAAGTAGTAGTGATCAAACAATATACAAATTANGATAAAGATAATTACATCCACTTCTGTAGTTCCCACCGTCGTCGAGACAAAAGTGAGAACTTTTCATGCCTGCATATTGTCAAGGATATACGATACTCCTAATGGATAGTAGAACGTGCGACACAATGGTGTCGCGACTCTATCTCCAATGACAATTCGCGAACAAAAATATAAAATCACGTGATAGAAAGTTCACGTGCGACCAGAAATGATAAACGTCATCATCCCTGTTCTCCCTCAAGATCTCCTTCCATTTCTTGAGTAACTTTCTTATTGAATTTCTTCTCAACTTGTCTTAATGATTTCTTCCAGTTACTAGCAGCGAGAATTGGACTGTCTTCAAAAGTATACATTGGTTTCAATAAGTCTCCGTTATAAGATCCTTTTTCAATTCGTCCATTTAAGTTTCTTAATTGGTAAGCGCCATTAGAATTGACTTTTACTACTTGGTATGGTCCGTCATATTCAGGATCTGTCTTCTTCATCTTCCTCTTCTTCTTTAATACCCATTGACCTTTACTATAACCTGCTGGGATACCGAATAGTTGTTTCAATAAATTCTTCATCTTCAATCTTCTTGTTTTCAATTCAGTATTGGTGTCCCTTGTTTTATTCATCATATCCAATTGGTATAATCTAATAAAGTGATTATCAAGATCATCCCCTTGGTCCTCCTCGGGTTGTGTTTGTGGATTTTCCCTTTGATATTCTTCGTACATTCTTTGGCCAAATTCATCGACAGGAGTGTTGTGTCCAAAGGCTAGATAATAGGGTGTGCTGTTGAAAATTGTTGGGGTGGTATTGTAAATGTTAACAGCATGATCTAAAAATTCGGGCCAAGCGTTCATTGTTCCATTTGTTAAACCTTTCAAGATCTTCTTGATTAAGCCGTTGGCTTTTTCGACTCGGCCGTTGGTCATGGGATGATAATTTGAGGCGAGTTTATGTTCAATTTGTAAAAGATTACATAAAGTCCGAATAGTGTCGTTGACAAAACTGGTTCCATTATCGGTGATGATTTCTTTGGGTCTTCCAAAAAGTTGATATATTGCTCTGATTAATTTGTTGGTGTGGGTTGCTTCCATTGTGGCAGTGGCAGTCGCATATACAAGACCAGTAATATATTCAACAGCTACTAAAACATATTTCATATCGGCATATTCATTGAGAATAATAAAATCGAATCCCCATCTCTCAAAAGCGTTTAAAGGTTCTAAGAAGAAAAGTTCTCATTGGACTCTTGAAAAGGTTGAGTGGGTTTGACAATATTCACAGTGATTAATGATATCTGTAATGATGAGTTTGTGGTCGGGGTGCCAGACATTCATGAGAGTGAAATAGTCTGTAACTCTTACTGAAGGATGATGTAAATTATGGATCCGGTGTGCTTCAACTTGGAATTCGTCTCTGGTAACAACTCTGACTAGTTTATTCTTGATGATGATGTGGAGTTCATTGTCTATTACTGTAAAGTTATGAAATGGTAATTGTTCATCGTCTCCACTTTGTTGTGCTCTTTCTTCATGGTGTTGTTTGATTTCCTCAAGATTTGTTTCAGCTAAATCGTCGGTTCACCAATGAGTATATGATCTAAGTCATGCACCAAATACACTTTAACGTTTGTATCAAATGGTTCTGGTAAGATGATGATTGCTTCTTCAGTGATCTGTTGTTGTTGATTAAATGCTGCTGTTGTTGTAATTGGTTTCTTCACTTTCCTGATTTTATAGCCTTCAAAGTATTTCAATAATTCATAATCCATGAAATTCGCAGCAGCTCCTGAATCGAGTTTGATCTGAACAACTTCGGAATTATCTTTAGTGTTGGGCGTGCGTAGGCCTCGCCGTCTTGATATCTAAATTCTGATTTTGATCATTGTCATTATCATCTTCATCGTCATCATCCTCACTGAAATCAATTAAATATTCATTGTGGTTATCATCCTTTGGGTTTTCTGGGTCATCAACAAGTTCTTCATTTTGCAATTCTAAATCATAGATGCCGGTTTGGCCTCTGGGTTTTCCCTTGTAGTTGAATTGTTTTGTTGATTTCGTTTTATCCTGGTGTTTCTTCTTGGGGTTGGGTGTTGTGGTCTGACATTCACATTTTGTACGACATTGACAAGATGTAAATTGTTTTTGATAATTGGGCTTCAGTCTGTGTTGTTGTTGGTAGTTCTTGTAAATTGGTAAGATTGGTAGTTCGGGATTATGTGGACTCTCGATGTCTGGTGGGAATTTAACACCCATGAACGCCTTTTGTAAATCTTGGTAAAAATTTGCTTGAGGTGAATTTTCAAGATCAAATAATACAATTCTATCTCCAAAATTGTATTAGTCTAATTTTCCAAAAATAACATTCCTAGTGTGAACAAATGAATTTCCATAAGGAGTACATTTTCTTGCTTTACTACGTAATTCTTTAATAAATTCACTAACAGGTTGGTTTGGTTTTGGCGTGACATTGATGAAATCGTTGTTCCTAGCATAGTTCTTGAATGATAAGGTACAATTTTCAGCTACCATAAGTACAACGTCTCTCCATTGGATACCTTTTACTGGATCTTCAGGGAATCTAAGTTTGCCTTGGTAGGCATCGTCTAAATCACCAGCAAAATAAGGACAGGCAAGTTTTCCCCATTGGAATTGGTCAATAAACATCGTTTCAAATTTATTTTGTAATTTGACCATTTTGTTAATAACTTGTTCGTCATTAGATCCATCAATAACTTCTCTTTCATTGATCTGATAAATACCTCGTGGTGGACTTTGGTTTGAGATATGCTTGGGACATTCAACTTTGTTCATTTTCATCGTTGGCAAGAATCTCTTGACTAAGGCTTCTAATTCAGTGGTAGGTCTGGGGGGTGGTGATGATTGTTGATCAACAGCTGCTGGAACGTCTAGAGTTGCACCATTTTGCATTTGATAAACGGTTTTAGTCAATGAATTTAAAGAAGTATCAATTCTTTTGAAATAACCAAGAAAAGTCTCATTTTCACCCTTAATAAAAGTTTCAGCTTCATCAAGTTCTTCCTTAGTGTTTTCGAGGTCAGAATGTTCTTCCTCTTCTTCCTTTTTAACTTGCAGGACTTCAGTTTCAAGATCAATAATTCTTGGAACAACATTTTTGTTGAAGCTTCTGTTGACTTCGCTGTTGTAGGCTTTAAAACGGTTTTCAACATCATTCATGATTTCAGTCTTGAATTCTTGTCTGAATAAAATTAATTGTTCTTTCATGATATCCAAGAATTTCTGAGCCATTGGATCAATTGGTTCATTGGTAGTTGGAATAGATGATGATGGATTGATGTCCTCACCTTGAGGATGGTTAACTGGAGCTGGAGTAGTGTTTGGAGACATGTTTGGTTGCGAAAATTTCTTAGTTATCTTTTTTTTTTTTTTTCTTTAAACGGTATCGATTAAATTATACACTAAAATTATAAACTAAAATATATAAACTGATACTGACCCTCTGATACATATAGGGCATAACGTTCTGTAGAAATGGTAAAAACCTTTTATAGGCACTTAGGTGTATGATAAAAGCAACATAAGTAGTGTGAGAGTCCAAGACCAGCAGGACTGGGTTGTATACTCACTAAAAACCATTGGTACGAGTTGGCTGGGGGGATAAAGCGTAAATGATTTAGGATGGGGTTAAGCTTTGGATAGCGCTGGGTGGAGATGAATTTGGGATGGTTGTGTTGGTTAAAATGTTGGAGGGGTAGCCATTAATGTAAATCCTTATGAAAAATCGAGATTTTTGTACCCTATATAGATAGAGATAAAACAAAAACTAAAAAAATAAAAAAGAGGAGAAAGAAATCTCTAATAATACAAAAAAGTCCTCTCAAGGTAAAATAATAAAATTACGCCAAATATTAATTCAAACGTTTATTTCATTTATTTATCAGAAAAAAAAAAAAAAATTGATTTAAGTGTGAGTGGATTTTTTAATATAAATTTGTGACCATATCCACTTTTTTTTTTTTTTTTTTCGACATTTTATTTTGGCCTTATTTCCAACACCTTCCAACATTAGCTCTAGCTTAAACAAAAAAGCCTTATTAATAACTATTCATCTATTGACTATAGACTATGAGTGTTAGACGACCCGGCCGATCTTCTTCAACAATACCATTTCTTCTTCTTATTCCCTCCTTTTTTTTGCGGCAATAGCTGGCGGCAGTTTCAAAACTCGTTTCAGCGGCCTCGTAAAAAAATTCATTATTGGAAGCCATCGAAAAAAATGTACGGATTGTATCGCCTATTGCACTTATTGAATTGGCGATAATTTGTGGCAAGGCGACTGAAAGATTGTTAGTAGTTGTTATATAAAAAGTATATTTTTGGACTTACTAATTAAATTAGCAATATATCTTGACATATTAAGTTGTAATTAATCTTTTTTTCTTAATTAGTTCTATTACCTTCACTTTTTTTTGTTTTTTTCGCTCAATTTAAATCATTTTATAGTAAAGAAAACAAAAACTAAAAAATAAAAAAGCGGAGGAAAAAATTTAAAACAAAATTTAAGCGCCAAAAACAGATTGCCCAAAATAAAAAAAAGAATGATTTTTTCAAATTCCCAACAAAATTTTCGTAATGTGTTCTTCTATTCTGTTTGGTTGCTTGTTACACTCTGTCTTATAGATATAATTAATAGTAATTAAACAGGAACTCAGAGACTAGTTGTTCGGTTTCCTTTTTGAAATCGTAAAAAATATTTTATTTTTTATCCCAAAACTAAAAGTAAGGTACCAGAGTTAAAAAATATTTTATTTTTTATTTTGTTTTTTTATTATTTATGGTTTGGTTGTAATCTGGAAATTGTAGACGACGTAAAGTCTTTAACTCTGATCTATTGTTGTTGGAATAAAAGTGATAATTTGATTAATCTATTAAAAAGAAGAATATGTAAACTTACAAATTCTGTATCTGAGAATCCCAGCGGTATAAGTTTTTGATTTTAAACAGTTTTTAAGAAAAAAAATAAAAAAATAAAATAAAAAATAAAGTTTTTCGGAAATTTCCTTTTTTGGTCCTCCAACCCGTAATGAAAATAAAAAATAATTAAGTCATGAATTTGTCAGGGTTATCGGTCCAATTAAATTAATATTATCTTCTGCCAGCGTAATTGGAATTCTAGACTCTGGACTAACTTTTGTAAAATATTCGTCTGTCATTTTTTCTCAGACAATTATTATTTTATTTTGCAGCCTATTATTTTACATAATTATAATTGTGTCGTATAGTAACTTCACTTCCGTTAGGTATTCTCAGAAAAAAAAAAAAAAAAAGTTAATCAGGAATTGGTAGTTACACGACAGCGGAGCCAAATAATAGAAAGTACGAAATCGAACAATATTAAGGTAAATTCCAATCATATGAAAATGAAGAAATATGAATCTTGGCATGAATGAAGAAGATCATCATGAGATTCTATAGCTGTATTAAGAAATGATGGTGTATTTAGATATTATAAAAGGGAGATAATTCTAGCGAATTATCGGTGTTTTAAGGTATATAGAAATCAAGTATAATTTATAGGAAATGGTATATGAAATGAATGTTTATTAAGTTAACGGAGGAGTCTAAGTAGGGAATCTATGCTATTCGACATCTATAGCATATATCCGGAAAGTGCTATATTTTACCCCTTATAAAATCATCGGGTCAATTACTGTTGCCGGTCAATGGTATATTTCTGTTTAATTGAAATTGTTTGTTTCTTAGTTGTTTAATTGAAATTGTTTGTTTCTTAGTTGTTTAATCGGAGTTTTTTAATCTTTTTATATTGTACAAGCTAAAGTGGCCGCTGTTGTTAACTGATTTTGTGAATCACGTGCTTAGAAATTTAGAAAAGAAGAAGGTTTATATCTTCTCTCTTTTCAAAAAGAATTCATATAATTCTTTATATAACTTTTCTTTTAGAAAACCAATCAACTACTTACATTAATTTAATAATTAAATACATTGAATATTATCGTTATATTTCCTAACCCTAATTCAATACTTATTCTAAATTAGACAAGATCAACGAAGGTCACTCGAACTAGAACAAGACCCCGTTAATTCGATTACTGAACGTACCACAAGTATTTAAACTTGTTCTTTAATTCAATTAACAAAACCTATAAAATATAAATCAATATTTTATATATCCGGATTTCCATCAAGAAATTAATTTCTTGTTGAATATAGGCACTAGTTAATTCTAAGTGTTTATAACTTTCAGATAGTTATCATAGTATCTGAAATTTCAAATTATCTAAGAGACAGATAAAGAATTAACACCCAGTCGACAATTGAAGAAAACCACAGGAAAATCGACAAGCTGACCAATCAAAAATCAGTTAACAACACCGCCTAAAAGGCGGCCCGCCGCTCACTGTTGAGTGAAAGAAAAAATTTAATAAGAACAAATGAATTAATACACAATAAATAACTAATATAACAATAAACACTAACAAAAATGACAACAAACAGTAACAAATATCTAAGGTGAGAATATTTCAGGATAAACTTCATTCTGAGTCTTTAACAAAAATGACAACAAACAGTAACAAATATCTAAGGTGAGAATATTTCAGGATAAACTTCATTCTGAGTCTTTCTCTTGTTCTCGCCTAAAAACACGTGCAAATTAGAGGCTTTAGTAACCCTTGAAAGTGCAACATATAATTGACCGTGAGAAAAAGCTTCTGAAGATAAATCCAAGCCAACTCTAGTCAAAGATTGCCCCTGGGACTTGCTTCCCAATGAGGATTGGAGGTAAAAGTAATGAACAAAGACGGATGTCCAAGATATCTACATATAGCCATGGCA